CACTGTCCTGTCCTCTCTTTCCCACTGTTCTACGTATTTGAAATCTTAATAAAAAGGTGGAAAAAATAACAAAAACTTTCCTGGCACGGGGTTCATGAGAAACGTGATTGCCCGTGATCTGTTGAAGTTATGAAATCATGTACGGCATTTACCAAAAACATTGTAAAGAAACGTGTCCAGGGTTACTCGTGGATATCCCGGATGTGGGGTCTGTACAGCAAGTCCTGCTGTACTTGCTGCCCGTTTCTGGGTTTACTGCACTTGGGGAAAGCTCTGCGAACAACGCGTCTCAAGACTTCCTGTCCCTGATACTTCCCCTTTTATCGCCGCTCCTGCGGAGCCGCTAGTTGCTTCTGACTTGCCTTCCCCTAGCTCGGGAGGGGGACAGGCTTTCCCGTTCCATGGAACTGTGTCCATCAGAACAGCGCCAGGAGGGGAAACAGCCCCTGCGCGGTCCCAGGAGCTGGGGGTTTGGGGACAGCTCCCAGCCGGGGGCCGAGGCCTTCACTGCTGTCCGCAAGCTGCACGGAGGGCAGGCTGCAGGGTGTTCCGGGATGTGGGACGGATCCCCAGGTGTCACAGATGAAAGGACACTGGGCATCACCTCTCGCTATACAGATAAGAAAATGAGGTTCAGAGAGGCTAAGTGACCTGCCTGAAGTCACACAGCACACCAGTAGCGAAGGTGGGACTTGATCCCACAACTCCTGAGCCCCCCAACACTGGGTCCTGTCCACCTTTCTCCAGGGCCGTCCCAGTCTCCTCTTTGTTTAGTGGACTGGAATGGCAGCTGCTGCAGCCGCTTCCTGGCTTCCCGTATCACTAGGTTTTGCAATCGTCACTGCGTTTTCCAAAGGGAAACATACTTTGGTTTTTCTTTGTCTTTTTTCCTGCTCATTCGAAGAAATCCGAGAGCCCCTCTTAATTGCTTGGTCAAGACTGCAGACAGGCAGCGAGGCATGCAATAAACACGATCGCAAGTCCCAGGGAGCCTGAGGTCACTGCTGGCCCGGAGAAAGATGGGACAGCAGGACTGTCGCTGGGGCTTCCTCAGCTCACGGGCTCAGAGTTCTCAGGAACAAGGGGTGTTTGGCAAGTTCCCCAGCCCCTGACGGCAGGCCCCTGTCGGGAAGGGCTGAGGGACGGCTGTGGGTGCTGACTGAGCCCCTGGGAAAGAGGGCTCAGCCAGAGTGGAGCCAGCAGCCTAGACTACCCTGGGGCAGGATCCTCTATGTGTAGCTGAGCACATGCGCCTTCGACTACACTTCCCAGCCTCCTTTGCAACTAGGTATGGCCATGTGACTAAGCTCTGACCAATGGGATGTGTACAACCTAAGAAAGGGGCATACCCTTCTTTCCCCCTCCCTTCTTCTTGCTGGCCAGATGGCAGATGTGATGGCTGGAGTTCCAGCAGCCAATTTGGACCATGAAGCAACTATCAGAAGCCAATAGAAAAACAAGAGAGGAGAAACCTGGGCCCTGACATCATGCAGCCTCACAGAAGTAAGAAAAAAATTTCCATCCTTTTAAAGACATGATTATTTGGAGTTTCCTTTTACTTGTGGCCAGTACCATTCCTAACTAAGACACCATCTTTTAGTTGGGAAGAGGTTGCAGTCATTTGCAGCAGGATTGTAGGGGATACCTGCTTTGTGTGAGGGGTGGGGCAATCCCTGGCACGAGACTGAAAATTACTATGCAAAATACTAATTGCTGGCATGTATCAGCGTATATATGTACACCACTTAGCCTGGTACCTGGCACAGTGTAAGAACTGAATAAATGTCAGCAGCTGCATTGTCATTGAAGCTGAGTTAAACCGTGTACATATGGCAAGTATACGAAGGGCCCAGGGTCAGAGGTAAGAGTGCGGGTAGAGGAGACATTTGACATGGTCCTAAGACACGGGAATGGGAAGAGCCCAGAGTGGCCATGCAGTGACATCACCAAGCCCTGGGTCAAAGTGCCCTACAGACGTTATTGCACACGGTCCCCCAAAAACACAGTGCAATAGATAAATTGCTATTTCCACGACAGTGAGCAGCCTGAGCCCCGGGGAGGGCAAGGACCTCCCCAAGGTCACCGGTTTGAACTTGGACACTCTGCTTCCACTGTCCTGTGCACTGAAGCGTCCCGTGGGCTGAGAACCGTGGCTCAGACGTGGGGAAGGAGCCAGCACCACGCGGGAGAGCGCCAGGGGCCAGGGTTAATTTTCTGATTTTGGTATTGGCGCTGTGGTTACAAAAGGGACCGGGCGTGCTCTCAGGAGACACATGACGAATTCGGGGAAAGGGGCTCTGGTCTGCAACTTGCTCTCAAGTGGTTCAGAAAACAAAACACACAGGAAATGGACAGAGACAGACGCGGAATGACCCACGTGGGAACATGCTACCCACCGCGGAAGCTGGGCGAAGGCCATCTTGTATTATTTCTGCACAACTTAAACTACTTCAGAAGGAAAAGTCGTAAGGATTAAAGAGAGGCGCGGACAGTTCTCCATTCCGGGAGGCTAACCAGACCCGGGTAGTCATTGCAACGCCTCTGGGGGCAGAAGAAACGCCAGCTCCGATGACACGAGTGATGACACGGGTGGTTGGGGGGGGGCAGGTGACCCCAGAGGTACCGAGCCCCACGTCCTGGGCGCGCAGCCACGCGGGTCCGCAGGAGATCGCGCCCGCTCGTGCGTCTATGGGGCGGGGATGGAGCAGTGGGACAGCGCCAGCCACGTGACCCCGCGGGCCGCCACGGGGGTTCCCCCCCCCTTCTCTCTGCGGCCACTGGATGTCTCCGCGTCGCCCTACCAGGGGGCTGCTTTCACTTCCTAAAGTTTCTAACATGGTGACTGAAGCCTCCGCCCTCTCTCTTGGACCCCTTCTCCCTTCCCCGCCACCCGCCCGTGTTTCCCAACCTCGCGTCTCCTGCGGTCCCTGTCCCCGCCCCGCGGCGGGACCCTGCACTCTGCTGCCCCCGCGTGGCCAGCGGCCGCAGCGCGCAACACCTGCGGCTGGGAAGCAGGACCTGGGGCACGTGTCGTATTTATTTAAGGGACTGGCTCATGCGACACAGAGAAGACTGTCCCTAAGGCTGGCACCTGAGGGAACTAATTCACCACGGGAAGTTCCAAAGCATAAGACTCAGTCCTTTCGCTCCGGAGTTGACCAGAGGACAGAAGACACAAGATGCCAGCAGCGTGTTCGTGTGACAGGGGCACAGAGGGCAGGTGTGAGGTCAGAGGCCTCCAGGCGAGGGGAGGGAGAAGGGAAACACGAGCGGGGGCAGTTCGCCGCCTTGGAACCCTGTGCTGGTTTTCTGAGGCTGCTGTGACAGTTACCCCGAGTGGCTTAAAACCACAGAGTTTATGCTCTCACGGCCCAGAGTCTGAAGTCAGGGTGTGGGCAGGGCTGTGCTCCCTCCGGAGGCCCCAGGGGAGGATCCTTTCTTCCTCTTCCAGATCCCAGGGGCTGCCCCGAACGTTGGTGTCCCCTGGCTCACGGCTGCACGCCCCAGTCTCTGCCGTGTGGTCACACGGCCGCCTTCCCGGGCGCATCTCTGTTTCCTCTTCTTACAGGGACACCAGTCCTTGGGTTAGGGCCCACCTGACTCCATGTGACTCATCTTAGCTAATTACAGCTGCAATGACCCTATTTCCAAATAAGGTCACATTCTGAGGTCCCGGGGGACGTGCATTTTGGGGGACACTATTGCACCCAGCACACCCCCAAGAGTGAAGAGAGTGAAAGGAGCAAGAATGTTAGAGGGATCTGACCACACTGCACAGAGAGGGGACCAGGTTGCTGCCGTCCCGCAGCCTGGCATCACAGAGGGAAAGCCACGCTGATGGGCAGAGGCACCCCGTGGGAGGTCGGCGGTGGCATGCCCCAGAGAGCGAGGCCACAGCAGGGACGGAGCTGGGGTGGCGTGTGCGCTAGTCAGAGCCCACGGGAACACAACGCACAGGGACATTTGAGAGCACACAAGGAAGAGATCACTGGAAAAGCGTGGGAGGGGGCAGGCGACCGGCACAGCACGGCGGGCACCAGGAATCAGCCACACGGGGAAGCCACCACCACCACCAGCCTGCGCGCAAGGAATTTCAGTGCATGCCTAGCCCCTGCCTCTGTCCCTTCACCCCATGCCAGGGACTTATTTCCCCTGATTAGGTATTGTCACCATCCCATTTTGCAGGAAAGAAGGCTGAAGCCCAGAGAGGTCAGGTGACTTGCCCAAGGTGACACAGCAGAGCTGGGGTCTGGGATTTGAACCGGTGTTTGGCTGACCCTAAAGTCCTTGCTTTAATATATGCTTCAACAAATAAAAGCCTCTCCCTTATGAAAACCTCCAAACATACGCAAAGTAACAGCATAGGATCATGAGTCACCTGGCAACAGTGGCAATAATCGGCCATTCTGCGCCCTCTGCCCGCCCACACGGCTTGTTGTCGTTACGTTGCTTTTCTTTAAAAAGTAGACACATCGAAATACACAAATCCTACAGTGAGCAAATGCGTTCTGCCTGAGTTAGCGCAATTTCACGTGCTTTTATATTTCCTTCTCTTTGTGTCTTTATTTTCTTACTTTACCAACGATGAGCAGATACCGCTTTTTTAATAAGGGAAAGGACAATACGGTTATGATAAAAATGTCCGATGCTCCTTCCCTGTCCCCTCAGTCCACGTGCAAGGCCTCAGGGCCACCCGGATTCACTCTGTGCGTTTCCACGCCCCTCCTGCGTGACCGGCTCTCCCGGGACCCTGCCCCCTGCGCCGGCATCCTCACGGCTAGGAGGGAGCCCCGGGCAAGCTGCCCTAAATCCCTCCCTGCTGCCCCTTGGGGAACCCCAACCACTGCCCGGCTCCACAAAAGAACCTCTGTCTTCAAAGCGAGGGGGCCTCTTTGGGACGCCCCTTCTCTGCGTGGCTGGGGGAGGCTGGCCTCTGGGGAGGGTGGCCTCAGGGAGCGGTTGCCCGGGCGACCAGCAGGCAGCTCCTCCCAGGGCCTGCTGTGGGCGGCCACTGTCGCCTGGCAACCAGGTGGCAGCGTCCCTTGAGCCCGGACCACACAGTTGCGCCCAGCCCTGCCCAGCTCCTCCCGGGCCTGCGAGACTCCTGGGGCCCTGTCCTTATTCCTCAAGCCCAGGATGGCTGGCACCTCGGCCACAATGAACATCGTCCTCTCCAGGTGAGTGGCCCTGGGCCGGCCCTGCTGGGAGGGAGGTGGAGACAGGGTCCGGGGGCTGATGCACCAAGAAGGGTGAGGGCAGCGGGACTGGCGGGGGCAGTAAGGTGGGCTCCCCCACCCCGTCCCCACCTCAAGGACCCCCCTGGAGAAACAGAGACTGCGGCTGCTGTGTGACCTTTAGCAACATGCTTCACCTCTCTGGGCCTCAGGGTGCTGAATTCTAAAGCAGCGATAACAGCAGCCCCTTACCCACAGGGTAGCGGGGTCTACGCAGCATGCGCTGCGGGCCAGGAAGCAGCGCGTGCGCTAGGATGTGTCAGCAGGCCACGGGCCACTCCTCAGAGTTTCCGGCTTCAGCGGTGCGATTCGAGGGCTGCACGGGGGACTTCAGTCAGAGGGAGAGAGGCAGGGACAGCCACGGCCTGGGGACGGTGGAGAGGACAGAGTGTAGGGAGGCCCAGGAGGGAGGGTGCCGAGGCCGGGGAGACCGCGGTGCGCAGGTGCCGGGCCAGGAGCAGAGGAGTCAGCGAGCGCCCGCCACGACGTCGAGGGCGGGAGAAGCCCAGTGTGACGCGAGGGGACCAGCGACGGCAAGAACCACAGACCAAAGCTGCAGGTTGGGGCAGGGGGAAGGAGACTCCCCGGGGCAGCGAAACTGTCCCGTGTGACGCTTAACGTGGACACCTGGCGTTGCGCACCGAACGTGCGAGGCCATCGTGTAAACCGTGGGCTTCAGCGAACACGCCGTGGACGCTGCTCCTCAGTGGTCCAAACGGACCACGACAACACATGGCCACGGCGGGGCCCCCGCGTGGCAGGGGTTTGTGCGAACTCTGTGCCTTCCACCCAGCTTTTAAGAGCCAAGTCCACATTCGCGTTCCTGCCGCCTGTGACAGCCCAGGCAAGGCCCCTCCTCTGCCTCGATGGCCTGATGCTGTCACCTCGGGTGCCATTCCCAGGACCCGGCGCCTGACCTGACGTGGGCCACTCAGGAGGAGGCCGGTGGGCGGTGGCTCCCGGAGGCTCCTGTGCTCATGACAGATGGCCCTCTGCTCGAGGCGTGACGGGCCCCCGCCCCCCCCAGGGACAGCCAGGCGAGGATGATGGAGGACACGGTGGCCAACGCCGAGAAGCACTTGGGGCAGTTCTGCTCGCTGCTGGCCGCCTACACGCGCAAGACGGCCCGGCTGCGGGACAAGGCGGACCAGCTGGTCGGGCAGCTCATCGGCTTCGCCAGCGCCGAGCCCCCCGAGCTGCGGGCCGCCGTGAGGAGCTTCGCCGAGGCCCTGGCGCAAGTGCAGGACTACCGGCAGGCCGAGGTGAGCGGGCCGCCGCCGGCGGGTGTGAGCGTAGAGTTTTAGATCTGTACTGACCCCGGGGGTCGTGGGCCGTGACTCGGGAGGAGGCTCCTCCACCCAGCTGGCAAGCTGGTGGCCAAGGGCCCCGTCCTCAAGGCGCCGGGCGCGGTTGTGGGAGGAGGGACGGCTCCTCTCACGCTCCCGACGCCGCCTGCGCATCCCGCCTTCCCGGCCCCCGGCTCCTGCCCTTGGGGGGCTCCGAGGACTCTGAGGTGGGCTTCACTCTGCCACCCCCCAGGCCAGAGCCTCGAGTCAGGAGCTTCCACGCCGAGGGCACAAGAAGCCCTCTGCTTGCCTGTAAGGGGTGAACTCTAGGGCTCAGTTTCCCACTTGTAAGATGGGGCTAGCAGCTGTCCCTCCCCCACGAGGCCGTGGGGAGGATTAACCCAAAACTCCGGTTTAAACCACTGGTCCTCCCGGCTGGCGGGGCCCGCCGCATCCGCCTCACCTGGGAACTCGTTAGACGGGCAGATTTGGGGGCCACGCCCTGGACCTCCGGAATCAAACTGGGGCGGCGCCGTCAGGGCTTCAAGCTGTGTCTGCTCTCACGTGACACCCACTGGTGCCAGGCTCGGGGCAGTCACTGCGACCGACCGTCACCGACTGTTTGCTGAAGTAGCTAAGGCACCGGCTCAGGGTGAGGCCCCTCCCCTCCTCCCCTTGACCCTGGGATCTCAAGCCCCAGGACAGCGCGGCAGCTCAGCGAACCAGCAGCGACCAGCGAGGGGTGGCCTTGACTGCGCCCCGCGCTCCCGCCGCCTCCCTGGCTCCGGTCCAGCACCCCCGCCCGCCCCCCAGCTCCAAAGCCCACGCCATTCCGTGCATCCATCCGGGGCCAGCGAGCCCCCGAGGCAGTCTGGGGAACAGGAGACTAGTGCGGGGCCCTGGAGTGGGAAACTCTGGATGTAAGTCCTGTCTCTGCCCTGCTGCGAGCTCAACAGAAGTCCTGTCCCCAAATCGAGGCTCAGTTTTCTCATCTGCAAAGTGGGGCTGTCACTGCCTGCCTGCACGGTGGCCAGGAGACAGGGCAGAGGGCTGCTGCTGCTCCCTCTCCTGCCCTCCCTGGTGATGACCCTGAGTCCTGCGCCAGGCACTGTCTTCCCAAGGGTCGCACGTGTCCCATCGGATGGTCATGAAGCCCTGGTGGGTACAGCCATGACCCCATTTCACAGGCGAGGAAACGAGGCGTGCTGGGAGTGAACGTATCGCCTGAGCCCGGGCCGGTGCTTCCAGCCCTGGGGGGGCGGGGGCACCTCAGGTTCCCACGGCCCTGGGCGTGCAGCTCGGGTGCAGACGGCATCTTGCGCGGCAGCTGGAGGCGGGTAGCATCCTGCTCCCCTCGCTCTGATTCTCGGGTGTCCCTCATGCTCCCCCAGGTCGAGAGGCTGGAGACCAAGGTCGTCAACCCCCTCAAGCTCTATGGGGCGCAGATTAAGCAGACGCGGGTGAGTTGGGGCCCCCGGGCGGGTGGCGTCTGGGTCCTGCCTGGCGGGGACCCTGGGAAGCAGCCCTCCTCTTTTCCTCAGGCTGAGATCAAGAAACTCAAACACGCCCAAAAGAATGAGATCAAACAACTGCAGAAGCTGGAGAAACTGAGGCAGAAGTCGCCCTCAGACCGGCAGATGATCGTATCCTTCCCTAGGAGTTGGGCCTGGGGCTGCTGGGCCAGGGCGACCACTCGTCCCAGATGCTCTGTGGGGTCTTCTCTGGGCAGGGGCCGCGACGGGGTGGACCGCCCCACAGGCTGTGTGGGCTTAACCTGCTTCCTTAACGGCACCTTTCCCAGTCCCAGGTGAGTGCCACCGCCTGTCGGGGGCAGGCAGAATCGAGGCAGGTAAGGCATGACGTCACAAATGGGCCCGGTGAGCTGTACCTGGGCAGAAGCGGGTGTGTGCGGGGGCCCGCTCAGGGTAGGAGAGTCAAAGGTCCGGGGGAGGCAGCTGCTGGGGGTCAGGGGACCTGGGCGCTGTCCCGTCATCGACACTGTCCAGCACTCACTCGCCCACAGCCCCAGTTTCCTCAGCGGGGTCACCCGTTTCATGCTCACGTCAGGAGGGCACGTCTGGCATCAGCCCCATTGCTTGGATGAGGAAACCGAGGCTCACAGAGACCCAGGGGGCTGGGAGGCGGCTCAGGGCTGGTGGAGGGGCCAGTCCCCTCTGCCGTGTTTGCAACTGCGTGACCTCGCCCAAAGAGAGCCCCGAATGGCCTAAGTCAGCAGTTTCGTCACTGGGGATTCCTGGTTGTCACGACTGGAGAGTGTTGGGTTCCTACCTCTGCAGTAGCAAATGACCACAGACCCAGCGCCTTGAAGACACGAGCATGCGCTCCTGTGTCCTCCGGGGGGCCTGCATCAGGTGTGGGCGGGGCTGCGTTTCCTCGGAAGCTCCAGGGAGGAATCTGTCCCCTGCCCGCGTCCCTTGGCTCCTGGTCCCTTCCTTCACCTTCCAGCCAGCAGCCCGTACCTTGCTCTGACTTTCCCCTCCTGCCGGCCTCCCTCTTCCCCTTCCAAGGACCCTGTGACAACACCGGGGTTACCTGATAATCCGGGACAATCTCCTCGAGGACAGCTGAGTAGCACCCGCAGTCCCCCTGTGCCTTGTCCGGTGACGGATTGACAGGTTCCAGGGATTGGGATGTAGACGTCTCTGGGGAGCCATCGTCCCGCCTGCCACACGGCAGCTGGTGGGCAGGAGGTGCTGCCAACACCCTGCCAGGCACAGGCCAGTAGTGCCCAGGGCGAGGGGTCCAGGTCCAAGTCAGCGTGGGGTGACAGCCTTCTGTGAGCACCTTCTGTGAGCACGAATTCAGCCCATCCTTGTCAGCGGTTGGTTTGCATGACAACCGCTCTCCCTGCTCTGCTGGGGGCTTCCTGGGCGCCAGCCCCGGCTCCCTCCTCCCACCCAGGGCAGGCGTCTAAAGCGCTATTGTAAAGAGGAAACTGAGGCCGAGAAAGGTGACTTGCTCAAGGTCACGCAGGCAGTTAAGTGGCAAACCCAGAACTCAGCTCCCAGTTGTCTGACTCTGAGATCCAGGTTCTCGGTGGTCTGGGCGCGGCGTAAGGTGGGCTCTACAGATGCTGGTCAGAGGGACGAATGATTTACCTGCACGTGTCCCACGTGCAAGCAGCAAACATCAGTGAACGGGGAGCACCTGTTACAACAGCTCAGCAGCTGCCGCTGCTAAAGTCTCACAGGCACCCTGCAAAGCAGGTGTTATCCATACCCCTGTTTATAGGCAAGGAGACGGAGGCTCAGAGAGGTGAAGTGACTTGCTCGAGGTTGCACAGCTGTGACAGGCTGTCCACCTCCAGCGACTGCCCCTTCAGCCGTGGTCCTATTCGGCCATCTTTTTGATGACCACATTGGCAAGAGACGATGTCCCATGAGGCAGTAGAGCTGGCCTAAGAGAAGGGTGCGGAGACAGGATGGTGTCTAAGGGCCCGAGCCACCCCGTGACACTCCACTTCTGTGTCCCTGGGGCCAGGCAGAGACCAGCGTGCAGAGGGCCTCGGCGGACGCCAGCCGCACCACCCGCCAGCTGGAGGACACGGTGGGCGCCTTCCAGAGGCAGAAGCTGAAGGACCTGCAGGTGAGGGCGTCGGCCCCGTGTTGGGGGCGCTCTGGGCTGCCTCGCGCGTGCATGCTTTCCGTGTGCACGTGTGTGCGCGTGTACCAGTGTGTGTATGTGCCTGGACGCACGTGTGAGCGTTCTCCAGTGTGTGAGCACACGTGTGTGAACTTGTGCCCACACAGGCTCCTGGGACAGTTAATCCTGGCTGCAGGGGGCAGGAGGCCGGCTGCTCGGGGCAGCTGTCCCGGCACAGCTGGCCGGCCCGGAAGCCAGGAACCGTTCGGCCGCCCTGGGCGCAGCTCCCAGCCGGGAGTTTGCCCACGGCACACACGCCGCCCTCCTCCCTTCCTTCCCGCACAGCCACCCAGGCTGCGCTAACTTCCGCCTTCCGCCCCGAAGCCCCGGATGCCCTGCTGGGAACAAGCCTCGCCGCGGCACAGCGGGGTGGGCGCCGTCCTCCTTCCACCCAGACCCCAGACGCCCCCCAACCCCGTGCAACAGAATCCTGCGCTCAGAGCCCCAGCTCTTGCAAGAGGGTCTCAGGGAGTTGGGGTCTTTTGGGACAAGCTGATCACAGAGATCCCTCCCCCCACTCTCCACCGCTCTCTATTTTCCAAATAGCAGCTCAAGGAGTCTCCCCAAAGGCAGGTCCAATCTGTCACTCCCCTTGTTCTGGGGATGAAGGCCAAGATCCTTCCCGAGGCTCCTGAAGCCGGGCTCAGCCCTCCAGCCTCTCTTGCAGGTGATTCTCCAAGCTGCAGTGCACCATGCCCCTTCCTACCTCAGGGCCTTTGCACAGCCTGTGCCTCGCTCTGCATCAAACACTTACTCGTCCCTCAGACTCAGGTTTTTCCTTGAGGAAAACCACCTGGACCCCAGACTGGCCAGGCCCTTGTTACTGCGCTCTGCTCCCTCGGGGGCTGCCACTGGGGGACCGGTTACTTGTATATTTAACTCACTGGTTGATTTACAAGTGTTGAATACATACCTACTATGTGCCAGGCTCTGTGCCCAATGCCAGGGACACCACGCCCAGCAAAGCAAGGCCCCTGAGCCCATGGCGTCGACACCCTGGGGGGGAGACGGACGGATCACACGATGACTGTTTAACGCCTGCCTCCCGCACTGCATGCTGGCACCACAGGGCAAACCCCCTGCCTGTTGTGTCCCCTGCTAGGTCCTGGCCACCAGGTCCAGGGCTTGGCACTTAGCGGGTACTCAGCGAATACTTGTGGAATGAATGCATGAATGAACACGTAAGTGAGGCTTAGCAGGGCCCACCAGCTGCCCTGTCCTCCCCGCTAGAAGACCCGCTCCCCTGAAGCCCGTGGGCGACGGCGGCTGAAGGTCTCGTAGCCCTCAACCTGCAGACACCTGTGCGCAGAGCGAGTGAGGTCAAGGCTGCATGGATGAGCCCAGGCGACAGAGCCACGGGGCACCCAGCCCCGCACACGTCCAGTGCAGCCCCGTGCGGGGCAGGCAGGCTGCTGGGATCGCGGGCACGACGCTCTGGCCTTGGACCCTGCAGTTCCGCTCCTGGAACCGCCCCCCGCCCGCACACACAGCTGTGCCCCGCCAGGAATGAGGTGACATTTGCACAAAGATCTTCGTGGCTACGTTGTTTGCTACAGCAAAGGCTGCAAATAATCCACGTGTCCCAGGGCCAGGGACTGTTGAATCCATTGTGGTCGGTCCACACGGAGAAACGCCGTGCAGATGAAAACCGCACGGAAACGAACGAAGGTGCTTCCTGCGCAAAGGTCTCCGGGACTGACGGTTAACTGGAAAAAGCCAGGCTCGGAACACAGACAGGGAGAAAAGAAGAAAACGTATTTAAGGAAGCAATGGAGGAATACACAAGAACCTTCTGGAAGTTATCATCTCAAGGAGGTGGAGGGGACGGGAAGAAGGGGAACAGGATGCTGAGCAGGTCTCCCCAGCCAGCACTTTGGCACAGTTCTGATTTCCGAACCATGGCAATGCGTTATCTGTTCAAACAAAAATAAATTAAAGGTAACATCGGAATGCCCCACCTAGGACCTGCCCCACGCGGAGGGCTCACCCCGCCCCCCTCATTAGTCTACGCGCACGGCCCCCGGCGCTCCCCTCTCCTGTTGCTTACGTGGCTTGCGCTTCTCTCCCACAGAAAATTTTTTCTGATTTTGTGACCATCGAGATGGTGTTCCACGCCAAAGCGGTGGAGGTGTATTCCAGCGCCTTCCAGACCCTGGAGAACTATCGCCTGGAGCGAGACCTGCAGGTAGGCCGCAGACACCCCGTTTTCTGTTTGGGGGAGTGGGAGAGAACCCGTCTGGGCTCTGTCCTGATAGGTGCAGATTTTGTCGGGCACATTTTGCAACTTTTCCAACTCTGAAGACTCGCTCTGATGAACTGCTTTGAACACCTGCCCTGGGCGCCAAACCAGGAGGTGGAGGGTTTTTCTGAAAGCCACCTGGGATATCAACACGTTCATCCTTGGGGTGTTTGAAACAGAGGGGTGAACATCAGCAAGTACCTCCTGGCTGACGCAGAAGGAAGTGCTCAGTATCCCCATCTGACCCGATCAAAATCCAGAACGAGCTGTTCCGCCCTTCCCCACACCTGGTGTTGTCAAAACGACAATCACTTATCACGATGACCTTTCGTGGTTTGAGGGTTGATGGGGCTCGGCTGGGCAGGTCTCAGGCGCGGTCCCTCGTGCAGACGCCGTCAGTGGGAGCGGGGCTCGGTCGCTGCGACGGCTTCCTCGCTCATACCCGGCAGATGATGATGTTGTCTGGGCACAGAACAGGCCCCACGACTCGCAGGGCCCAGCACAGAAGGAAAATGGGGGCCTTTTGCTCAACAAGGATGAAGATTTCAGGATGGCGGCGGCAGAGCGTTAAGCCCAGCACAGGGTCCTTCTGGAGCCTGGGCGGCTGCGTGAGCCGCCCTCCCGCAGAGCCTGCCCTCTCTGGGGCCTTGGGGAGGCCTGAGGCCGGAACCCCTGCCCGTGGCCTCTCCACGTGGCGCGGGTGTCCTCACAGCAGGGCAGCCGGTTTCAAGAGCGCCATCCTGAGACGCAATAGTTACTGCCTTTTGTGACCTAACCTCACAAGTAACTCCGCCACGACTTTGCCATATTCTATTTGAAGCGCACCTCCAAGGCCAGCCCGTATTCAAGGGGAGAGGAATTAACTCCAGCTCCCAATGGAAGAAGCGTCAGAGAATTTGAAGCTAAGCTTTAAAACCACCACACGAGGTTGAACGAGGATCAGATGGGCTTTCTTGCATTCATCACCTCTACGAAATTCTCGATAGGGGTGATTTTCCTGTTTGACTATGGACATGTTGCCTAGCCTCTCTGGGCCTTAGTTTCCCCATCTGTAAAATGGGATGATAATGCCAACTTATGGGGCTGCTGCAGAGGACGTGGCACAGCAAACAGGAAGCCTCCAGACAGGACCCCGGGGTTCCGCTGGTGTCCCAATGATGGTCCTTCTTTCCCACCCCTGTCCCGCCCCCGTTGTGTTTTCCCATTGGTTCCTACCCACCCTGGTGTCTGCTCGGCAGGATTTTACAGCCAAGATGCAGGGAGTTTACGGGCATCACACTGCTCGGCCGCTCGCTGATAGCAACCCCTCTCCGCCTGTGCCGCGGCCTCCTGCCAGCCGGGTGAGCGCTTGGGTTGGGGGGTTAAACCTGTGACAAAGTGAAGGGACCGGGGAGGCTGGGTGGCAGTGACGCAGAGATCGGAGGACGTTGAGAAAGAACTTGGATTTGAAACGAGAGGCTGGGGAGGGGCAGAGGCGGGGAGCGTGGGGGGCTGTCCTGGAGTCTGACCAGGACTTTGCCTTGAAGTGGAACCAGCAAAGCCCCGCCAGCCACACCGGCCTCCCCCGTGGCCTCCATGGGTCCCGAGTGCCCCCTAGAGGCATTGCGAGGCGTTCCCACTTAAGAATGAGCGTTCCGGACAGGTGCACGCCTGTATCCAAGCCATGGGCCCCCAGGTCAGAGTTCAGGGTTTCTCAAGGTCAGGGCAGTGGTGAGCCGCAGGCACTATGTGTTGCCCACGGCCCCAGCACGGCCCGCCGTCAGACACGCTTCTATGTCTGCAGGGACCTTCACGTGTCCGGCCCAGCAGGGCGGATAAACTGACGGCCTCATGCCAACCGTGGCAGAGTTAGTCCCACTGAGTGGGGGCGAGGGGCAGCGGGCCCACCGTGCGTGTGAGAGGACGGCTGTCACGTGGGGAGGCAGTGCAGCCCGGGCAGGCTGTCCCCACCTCAGCTCCCGCCTCTCTGGGCCTTAGGGTCCCCAGCGGCAGAGCGGCCGCTGACAGTCACCGCCTCGCAGGGCTGGACAGCATTAGGTGACAGATCTAAGTGACGCATTTAAAGCCCTGCTGTCATTATTACTGATGTCGTTGCTGCGGTTTTAATCATTATCACCATTATTCAGAGTGCTGAGAGCGCCACACGGAGGCAGAGAACGGAAGAGGAGGTGAGTGAGGACGGCTCCGCGGAGGAGGCCCCCGTGGAGGACCTCAGGGGACAGGGGCTGCAGACGTAGGAGGAGGACTCCCCACGACAGTCGGAAGAACTGGGGCTGGCCCTGGGTCCTGGCAGGCACCTCCTGAGCCTCAGTTTCCCCATCTGTACAACAGGCCGACATCACCCCCTTGCAGGCTGCCCCGGCACGGTGCCCGGAGCGTAGCTGGTGACCAATAAATGCCTGTGACTCTCAGTTCGACTCCTGTCTTGTTTCCTGCTATCTGATCTGGGGACGCCAGTTGTGATTAACCCTGGGCTGATGCAGAAAGCACACGGGTCCGTTCTCTGGGGCTGCGCCGACAAAGTCCCACAGACGGGGCAGCATCAAAGCTGGGATTTATTGTCTCACGTTCTGGAGGCCGCAAGTCTGAGAGCAAGGTGTCGGCAGGTTTGGCTCCTCCTGAGGGCTCTGGGGTCGGTTCTGTTCCTGGGCTCTCTCCTGGCTTCTGGTGGTCGCTGTGTCCTTGGACACGTCACCCAGTCTCTGCCTCCATCTCCGGGCGGCCTCCTCCCTGTGTGCGTGCGAGGCCGTGTCCCAGTCGCCCCTTTTGATAAGGTGCCTGTCATTAGAGGCCTCCCACGCCCCAGTGTGGCCTTGTCTTGACTGAAGGTAAAGGCATACAGTGAGTGGGCGGGGGGGTGGACCAGACCTGGGCCTCTGCTGCCCTCCAGGGCGCCCCTTCCTCCCTCGGGTTTGCCTCTGAATCCACCCTCTGCCTGCTGCTGGAGAGCAGAAGTCTGGGTGCGACGCCCCAGGCTGAGAGCGCGGACCCGTCAGGCCCTCCCTCCACGCTTGGCTAAGAGGGGGCAGCGGGAGAGCTGGGGACATCGAGATCAGCCCGCTGCCACTCAGGCAGCTGGGCAGGGGGCCCCCAAGTCCCAGCATCCTCCCTCCCAGGTGCCTCCTGCTCCCCCGGCTCGCTGGCCCCTCTCTTTAGGCCAGGGTGTTGGAACGTGGCCACCGGCTTCCTATAATCGGAAAGAGGGAAAGCCCACACGTTTCACAAAAGACGTCTGCGGAACCGAGCTGGAAAGGACAGACGAAGGCGTCCTGCTGTGTCAGGCAGGCTGTAGCCGGGGTCCGCTGACCGCCCCGAAACCCCTCAGTCTTGAGGTGCAGCGGCTCTGCTCTGAGAGCCGCGGGATCGGGCGTTGAGTGGGCAGGGCTGAGGGCACGCTGTGGCCTGGGCGGACACTCAGCCTGGGCACTGACGCAGACCCCCGGTGGCTGAGCAGCCCACTCGGCAGACTTCACCTACAGAGGGAGCCCCGCTCCCGGCATGGCCCACGGGCTCACCCACCCGACGGCCCCGAACGCTCGGCCTCAGCGGGGAAATATCCGTCTGCCCTCAGGAAAAAACGTTCTCTTCTGAACAGCCACGGACGTAACCGAGAAGATCGCAAATTCTGTAAAAAGTCTTCACAGACACGTTAAAACAAAAATTAAGCAGACTTTTTTTTAAAAGATAGTTTATTTCAGTTTCCACCTCTGTCAGGCCAAGGTGCAATATATATACATATTTCTTTCTTCACGGGAAACAGCTTTGATTTCAGCACTGCTTTGACATCTTCAACCTTGAAACTTTCTCAACCTTAAAGTACAGTTTGTAGACCATCACCTCGTGGGACGCAAATTGCGTAACTGTAACACATAAAACATCAGCATCACCGAACTCTACTTTGGGAGCTACCAAAAACGCCACGTCTGGGTGTGACGATGGCAGGTTTAGGTCCGAGACAAACGTGGGTGAAAGAGAAAGCAGCGAATGCACGATGTAAAACACCACTGAAAGTTCCAGCAGAAACCCCAAAGCACAATGAAGGTTCGGGCGCAGGTGCGTGTTTTAAGGGGCTATAGGCATGTTGTTTGAATTTCTAGCTTTTCCTAGTGTTCGAACGTGTGACTCACCTTTCCCCAGGTGCCGCCCAGAGACTCTAAGCGCCAGGCCCTGGCCCCTCGCCCTGGCTTGGCTCCCCCCGCGGCCTTGCCACGTGTCTCCTGCAGGGGAAGCCACCTGCAGTCCCGCCTTAGAGCTTGGCCTCCCGAGGGCAAGCCTCCCCGCCTGGCCACCGTATTCCCTGGCTGTAGCTCAGAGGCCACCGTCCAGGAGCAAGGAGGGAGCAGGCACCGCCCCAACCCCAGCTCCACGCAGGCGGTTCCGGCACGCCCTCTCTCCAGTTAGGGCGCGACATCCCTCACGTGCAGCTCACGGGCCCCAGGTCGCGGCGCTGGCTTTGACTTTGCTTTGTCAGTGCCTGGAGGCTGCGGTGAAGCAGGGCTCTGGGCTGTCCCCAAAGTGCACCATGTCCTGCGGGAGGGGATGTGTGAAAGGGACCCCCAAGCCCAGACCATCCTCACTCTCCCCCGCACTGACACGGCAAGTTCTCCCCTTTCCGGCAGTGACCAAGAGCGCCCCACCGTGGAGCGCTGCCCCACCTGAGTCCCAGGGCCACGTGGCTCCCTGGGCCCTGCTAGGGACGGGCCGCAGTCCCACGCTCTCTGTTCACCCCACTCCGCAGAGCTCGGACGGGCCGGCGGGGAAATGCTGACACGAACTCAACCCGAGGGTGTGCGGCTCAGGGTCACTCAGGAATGGCACAGGCTGGCCCCCACAGAGGTGCCATTCCTGCGAGTCCTGTCGGTCCCTCTCTCCCCGGGGGAGTGTGTGACACCCAGGCCCAGAGACACAAGGGGCACCGAGGCACAGAGTGGAGGCCCCGGAAGGGGCTGCCTCACAGGGTGGCTCAGCGCTGCACACGGACGACCTCGAAAGGGCCCGTCTGTGGACGCCTGACAAACGACACCTTCCCTCCTGGCCCGGCACGGGCTTTACTGGGCGAGCGGCCGTGCAGCCTGAGGAAGCTCTGGGCTGTCTGAAGCTCCGCACGACGCGAGCCAGTCGGGGACCCCTCGCCGCACGAGTCTCTTTACTGTGGAACTCGGCTAGAAGGTTTGAAGTGAGCCCTTTCTCCGAGAATCACGACACAAGTAAGCGATGTGCAGGACAGGCGGCGACAAGGCGGGGCTGGAAGGGGGACGCTCTCACAGAACTCAGCGCTCCCCGCGGCGGGAGCCGGGTGTGCATGGAGCAGCGCCCCACAGCTTCGCGCGTGCTGAGGAAGGCGAGGAGGCCACCTCGGACCCCCGCCTGTCGGGGCCCAGAGGGACTCTCCCCTCCCCGCTCCCTGAGGATGGGGCTGGGCCACTGCCACACCCAGCGTCCCTTCTCCCTCTGCAATAAGGGACCCTCTCATTTTTAAAGGCCTCGTTCTCAAGCCCCCACTGTTCTTGGCAAAGCACTGGGCTCCTTGGCTGCCCCCCTGGCTGAAGTTTTGGGCAGCCGGTAACGAAGCTGATCTAACCACGCGGGCCGACTGGACCCTCCCTGATATAAGCCACTGGTCAGTGTGACCCGGCAAGGTCAGGCTTGTCATTTACGGCCCTGGCTTCTGGTACCTGTTAGAACGAAACCTTCCCAAACTGCTTTACGTGTGAACTCTGTTCCTCGGGTCAGGATGCCACGCGCTCCCAGGTGTCAAGGCAAGCCACGCGGAACAGCCCTCGGGGAAGCTTGTCGCAAGGCTGCAGCCTCTACCCACAGAAACGAACGCCACGGCCTGCCTGGCTTGGGGAGGTGGGTGATGGGGGCCCGTTTGGGTTCCACTCCCAGAAAGGAAGACAAAGGTAGGCGGTGTCTGATTCCCACGTGGGCCTCGGCTCCGAACCGCCGTGCTGGTTCCAAATCGCACGTGTGTTCCTTGGATCAACTGAACATCTGGGCTTTAACCCGGGCACAGAGCTCAGAAATCAGAGCCTTCCTCTGGCCCTCTTTCAGAGCTCCTTAGCCTACTTTTCTTCTTTTGGCAACCGGAATATCACGGAGTCTATTCCACTTCGGGGCTCAGTTCTCTGGCCTTTGGCTAAATGCACGCGTGCGCGCACACACACACACACGCACATGCACACAGCGGATGCAATCTGAACATTCATGTGGCCCCTCTTAAACATCGATCAATCTTGCTAAAATTATAACAAAGGCTAAAACCATATAGAGCCGCATCTCAACAGTGTCTTGTTTTCAAAGCAGGGAATTCTTTACTCGAGAGAACTAGACGTATTTTGGTTCAGTACGATCCACTTGGCCCTCAAGGTGACACAGCAGCGATCTGAAACACCAGCGCTCCTGGCTTTGGCACTCTACCTGCTCGGACTGGGTACTGTCTGAGGCTTCCTGAGTTTACAGAAGGGCTACCAGAGCTCTCCCGTGCCAAAGCGTCCCTCTGTGCACCTGGGGGTGACATCTCCCCATGGGGGGACCTCTGAGTGTTGTGGGCGGGGTCTGTCTGCACTGGTCAGGCCCTGGGGGGAAAAAGGTGTCCCAGGGAAGGGGAAACCTCAGCAGGCGAGCTCTTCGGGGACACTGTGCCTCCTGCAGGTGACACTGGCCAGAGGACTTGAAAATGAGACACTCAGCCGAAGCCAGCTGTCCGCAGGAGGGACGGTGGGGCAGCTTCCTGGGCCACCTCCAGCTCCCCTCTTGTCCCCCAGGGCCTGCCACCTCTCTGGTGGCGTCCTGTGTGGGGCCCGGCACAGAAGGTGACACTTCCCGGGGTCAGACTTCCTCCAGCTCCGAGGAGGAAGAGCAAGGCAGGGAACAAAACGAAACAAGCCCTTCTTCCACTTTAAACTGCCATTTCAAGAGGTCTATCTTGCAGGGGGTGAGGGGAGGATGTCCCAAGATCATTTTTGAAGTTAAAGTGCTTGGAAATAAAGCCAATAGAAGTCAAAGCTGCATTTCCTTCCAAAAGCTGCACACAAGCTCTCCAGCGCCCCTGGAGAGAGGCTCAGAATCGAATGTTCTTGCCGAGAACTCAGACCAGGCCAAACATCTGCACAAAAGTCCTATATATACGGGGGTAAGTCTTGTGGGCACCTCAGAGCAAAGTCCTAACGCATTTCACTGACACTAATAATAAATGACTACGAAAGCTGAGGACGCAACGGCCACTGGGGGCGCCCGGAAGGTCAGCGAGTTTTACAGACGCAGGGGGGAGGGCACGAAGCTTCCAGGGCCGCGTTTTTGGGGAGGGGTGCATTATCTGAAGTTGGCACTGGAGCGAGGAGGGGTCCGCACACCTGTTGATCCGACGTGACTTCTCTAATGGATTCAGTGGAGACATGCGCGGTCGCTGGGGCCTAACGACGGGGGAGGGCACCTCAACCTGCACCGTCTGCCCGGCACGGGGCACACCAGCCGGCAACAGTCGTGTTGTCTCGTGGCACCGCCAGCAGGGCTAAAATCACACACACACTCGTTGTGCCGCCAGAGGCTCCGGGCCCTGGTTCCCCAGTCCTTTGGTTTGGCAACGTGTTGCCCGAGTGTGCTCAGATGACGCCACACTTCAGATAATGCCCCGAACACACGTTCTATGGCTCAACCAATGTGTGTTCTTCCCTGGAACATTCCAGGGCGGCATTCCAGAGGGAAACCTTTTGAGTGGTCGCTGGGTAAGTGACTATCAGGCGTGTTTCTGCTGTCCTCAGGGACGCGACGGTAATGATTTGACCGAAGGCGGGAAGGCGGGGCAGGCAGGAGGGGAGGAGGGAGGGTGGGGGGACAGCTCCGTGCACCCATCTCAAGTCACGACCAGAGGCGGGGAGCCCAGGGTGTCCAGGAAGCAGCAGGCCGTGGGAGCCAGCATGCTGTAGGCTGTGGGTCAGGCCTCGTCCCCACGGCTGGGCTTCTGTGCCGGGACAAACCGCCGCAGGAAAGCCGAGGTTCCAGGCACCAGGTGTGGGTGGAGGAAGGGGTACAAAGGCTTGGGCTGGGGCCGTGAAGGCCACAGGGGTGGAGGGCCCAGGCCCCACTCCGCTACCTGGCCCTGGACAATCACAGCAGAGCCACGGCTCCCCAGCTGGCTGTCCCACCAAACAGACTCTCCCGCCTTGTCTGAAATAAACAGCAGCACTGTTTGCTTTTAGAAAGGGTGGCTGTCTTGTAGCTACTGGATTTCTCTTCTATGTTTCTCGAGTGGGACAGATGGCACAAAGCTGCTCCCGGTGCGCTGAGGAAGCTTCAGAGGGAAGTCATCGGCTGAGCAGAAGCCTCGGCGCTAGTGTGACTCGAAGGAAGCCACACGGATCCTGTGCCATCAACAGGGCACTCACATGTCCCTAGACAGGGGCCGGGTCTCTCTACAGCCGGGAAAGAGCACCCCCTGCACAGGACCTGTCTCTCCTCCTGGGGCTCCCGAGACTCCCCAGTTCCCGTCCCACGGAGGGAGGCTGGGGAAGAACAGGGACCCGCCGAGGCCGACACAGCAGCTCCTTCTGTACCTGGGGTGGGGGGAATGGCCCGGGTGCCCCCATGACCGATGCCTGTTCTCCTGTCCTAGCCCGTGCCGGCTGCAGCCCTGCCTGCCTCACAGCCATCCCACCTGCACCCCGTGCCCCCCACCCTCTCCAGCCCTGGGCCTCCTCCCTCTGGGTCTCATGTCACAAGCCTGGCGCTTGGGGGGACAGCTGGTCACCTCAGTGTGAGCCGTGAGATCCAAGGGACACTTTGGCACGTGGAAGGGGGCAGCAGACACAGGCAGAGGGGAGGACGGGCAGCCGGATTCTTCTAACCGCTAGTTCTAGGGCAGCGAGGAGTGGCTCTGGGTGCTGCTGGCGTCATGCAGGGTCATCAGGTGGGTGACGGCCAGTCGCCGGCCTAGTCCTCCTAGGGGTGTGGCCTCCGTGGCCTACTCAGTAGCCATTTGCTCGATGTGCTCACTAAGCAGCTTATATTGCTCTGGAAGAGAACACAGCGTCACTTTTTGGAAGAAAGGTGGCGGCTGGGACAGGCGTGTCCTGCCCTTTTCACTGGGCAGTGATGACTCAGGACCTCGGCAGGACAGAGCACGCAGCCCCCAAACCACAGGGCCTCCCACGGGCGTGCTGCATGCTCGGCGCAGACCAGCGCCACGAACACAGAGCCTCGTGGCCAGCATGCGTGTGCAGTTGTGGGCACGTGCTGGGGAGTGGGCCCTGGGGACGGGAACACATCTTCTCACGGAAATGGTGTCCCAGGGGGCCCCCAGTAAGCCTGTGAAGGGCCCGGCGTGGTCAGACCAGGGAGGCGACAGTATTCCCCTCGCCCTTTGCCAGTGAGGTGGGGCTGGGGCAGCATTTTGAGATCGTCCATGGATGTCCTCATGCCTCCTGAGGCCACTCCCCTGCGGACCCCTTGAATTTGGTGCAGGATGGAATTTTTAAAAGAATACTGGTCATTCCAATACATGCTGAGTGTAGGGCTTCTTAGACTAGGAGGAGAAGCGTCAGGCGGAAGACGGGACAGTGCAGGTAAGGCCGAATCCGGCAGCAGGCTGGGCACCCGCATCGGCAGCAGACTCCCTACTGTCACAGAAGCCAGAGAGGCTAAAAAAACCTCAAAACTCCCTCCACACACCCGCTTTGCCGCCCCCGTACCTGCCGTGGCACTGTGGTCCGAGAAATAGAGGGAGGCCGTGTGGCGGCTGCTCAGAAGGGGCAACGTGGGGCCGGAGCTTGGCTCTGAGCAAGTTCCGAGTCTGGGTGCCAAGTCCTGCCTGTGCTTGTGTCCCATCTGTGACACTGAGCCAGCAGGCTTCCCTCCCCTCCCCACCCCGGTGGAAACGCATTTCCAAAGGCACCGAGAGGCGTCCGGTGCGTCTACACTGACTAGGAAATAGGAGGGTGGACCAACCAAGCGGGTTAGCGTCGCATTTGTAATTAGACAGCGGCTCTGGCAGCCTCACCTTCGTCCAGGTTGCCGATCACGGCCTGCTTCTTCAGGAAGTCGTTGCACAGCTTCTTGTTCAGCCCGAAGGCCAGCATGTTGTGCGTGAACGTGCTGGAGGAGAAACACCCGGGACTGTCACGCTCCTGCCCCTCTGCGGGGAGGGGCCGGGGGGCTGGGCCCTATCCTCCTGGATGCCCAACAGGGGCCTGCCTAGAACTTTCAGCAAAAATCGAAATGCAGTGCCTAGTTAGCCACCAACACTCTCACTGTGCCGCTGCTGCCGCCGAGGGTCCTGTTAGGTGGGGGGCTAATTAGGAACCCGAATCAAGGCCAAGTGTGATTACTCCCAAGCTTTTGAGCAGTCTGAGAGGGCTGGGCTGTGCTGACACCGTGTCCGGTGTGTGACGTCAGGAGGGACAGCATGTGGGGGGCCCCCCTCCCCCCGTGGCCCCGGCTCTCACCCCAGCTGCCCGAAGGTGATGTTCTCGTTGAACCGCAGGCTGTCGTCACGCTCCTCCTGGGTCATGTGGCACCACTTCTCCCTGCAAGCACAGGAGGGGACAGGAGGGGGGCTCAGACAGCACCATCGTCAGCCCGGACACTCATCCCCCACCCCGACCTGCAGGTGCTGGTGGCACCTGAGCACCGCCTCCCCAGCACAGGAGGAAGCCCCCTCCACGGAGAGCTGCGCCCGGCGGCTACGCAAAGCCCACTGGGATTCCGACGCCGCGCCCGAGAGGCCCCAAACGCACGCTTGTTCATTCCTCTTCCTGAGATAGACCCAGAAACGAAATCGCTCTCTACTGCCCGGGACATTGTGTTCGCTGCGGCTGCCCAGCACTCTGTAGGCAACAGGGAGGCCGGCTCCGCGTCCCTGCTCCGGCTGGACAACGGGCTCCTGGGCCCGTCTCCCCAGGGAGGAGCCTCCAGAGCGACCGGGCCTGTCCGGTACCCCAGAGGAAGCTGCCTGGGCTCACACCTGCGTCTCCCGCTAGCAGCTCCCGTGGAGCCAGTGGTGCGTCCTGGGGGAGATGCAGGGGTCTCTGACGGCCACACGGTCCTCTGTCTGCAGAGGACTTTGCAAAGCTTCTCTCCATGTCGGCTTTCTTGTGGCCCCTCTCCACCCCCCCAACATTCTCTGTGAACTGTGACCCTGCGACAACACAGACTGTGGGAAAGATGGCAGTGGTATCCAGAGCTCGGCGCTGAGCCCAGCGTGAAGGCAGGTGGCGTGGTCTGCACGCACCACGGGTGAGACCACGAGGTGGCCACTTGTCAGGATGTTCTCTGCACAGGGCTGGGTGGGGACGGTGTTTTTCTAGCATTCACCTGCCCCGTGCTTTAGGGGGGCGCTATTAATTCTCAGCGTGCCTGGGAGGAATAGGAGAGTCCCCACCGGTCTCTGCAACGGCTCCTTCCCTCCCCCGCCCGCAGGCAGAGCAGCCTCCCCCTGTGTGGCCCTGGGCCACCCCATCCCCACGCGACGCCCTGGACGCTGTGTCTATCTAGAAGCGCGCTGTCTGCAGGGGCCACACAGATGTGGAGGAGAAATTCCTGTTAACCCATTTCCCCTTAAAAAGAAAACTCTAAATGGATGAGTCTGGCTAAAATAAGGTTGAGAGAAAGATCAAAGAAAAGGGAGAGAAGAGAGAGTATGAGAGGGTGACAGGTAGGGGGTCATGGAGAAGCCAAAGGAAGAGAAACAAAACAAAAGAACATAAACTCTCAACTCCTCTCCAGCCTCCTGGCCCACAGGAGGTCACTGGCGCTGCTGTAGCTCAGCAGGGGACACAGGATAATGGGGCATGACCCAGGGGCGTGACAGTCACTACCAGTGTCCTCATGCCAATGGCAGGGTGCCCATGAAGATACCCAGAATATACTTCCAAGCACTTTGCTGAGTCCCATTCCATTTTCCTTCCTATCCTCTTTCTCCCAGTAGTCACACTTAGGATTGTCCAGACACGTAAGACCCCCACACCACCACCAGGCCTGCTGGGTACAGTTGCCAGGTTGGGCACAGCTTCCTTGGCGTTGTGCTGCACGGCAGTCCTGCCCCTACTGCTCCTGACCCGGATGAGGAGCTGATGCTTCTTGCTGTGGCTGGGTCTAAACCTGGGATGTTTAACCCGACCTCTGAAGGAAGAGGCAGAGTGTTATTAGCTATCAGCAGACCAGGTGATGCCTCCAGCCAAATCACTGCCCTAAAACTGAGTTCAACCTCCAGCCCTGCTCAAGGTCTCACGCCACACAGAGAACTGAACGCTGTGTCTAAATTGCCGCAGGAGTCTGGATGTGACCAGCTGCTTGCAGAAAGGGAAACCTTCTGAAAGGAGAACTTCTGCCTCTGTGAACAGAGAGGATGGTCATGGCATCGTGCTGTCAACAGAGGTTGACAAGTCATATTGGAGGCAGAAGGTTGCCTGGGGACCTGGAACCGACGCTCCCCCCCAATCTCAAAGCAAAACTGGCCGTCTCTGGGCAGGACTCGGGGTAGGTCAGAGAAGTGGAGCGGGCGCGGAGCTGTGCGTGGCAGACAGGACGTGCTCCAGGGAGGAGCCCAGGAGGCCGCGAGGCTGGCTGTCCTCCTGGCTGAGTTCAAGACAGGCCACCGCGACCAGCTCGCAGAGGGAGCCGAGATGCTCCCAGCCCTCCGTGTGACAATGCTGCAGGGATGAGAAGCCTTGCTCCTGGAAGGACGGTCACTCACTGTCGCCCAGAGAAACTCAGGGACTTGGGGGCTTTGTTTATGAAAGGAGGTAGCTGTTATGCCTACATGCTCCTTGTAAAGCCATAAGGCTGTGTGAAACCAGATTTCTCGTCAAGATTAACGCTATGAGCACGTCGCTGATTAAAGGAGGTGTGCTTCGGGAACTTTCCACCGAAAACACATCGCATTAGGGACTCCACTTTGAACAGGCGGGTCTTTAACACTAAAAACAAATCACAAAGGATTCTAACAAACACAGAGTTGAAAGTCAGAGTCAGACCCCACTGTGGGCTCGCAGGAAACAGCTCTGTTCTAGGCATTTCTTCAGGGGAGCCCCTCACACCCTCACGGCTTGTACATCCCGAGTGGCCAGAGAAGGTGGGAGCAGCTGCCCTTCCTCGGTGACGCCCAAACCTGCCAGCCCCAGCACACCTCCGAGCAGGCGACGCTGCAAACAGGACAGGCTCTGTGCACCCAAACCGTGGCTTCCGAGGTGAGCTGGATAAACTTCTCGTGAGTGAGACAAGCGAGGCTGAGGACGAGGTCCTGAGGGCTGCTTAGAAGGGGCCGGAGTGGCCGGGGGAGAGCATGACCCGCTCGGCACGCGGGCCGGCTTGCCGGCTTCCCGCGCTCTCCTCGCTGAGCTCGGCTGTGCCCTTCAGGGGTCTCAAGGTGTCACATTTGTTTTCTATTCCAGGGTGCTCTGGCCGTGGTGGGCTCCCACCCACCCAGTGGGCCTCGCCTCCCGGGGACGCCCTCCCCGCTGGCCGCCGGCGCTGCCCCTGCGGTCCAGGCTCTGCCCCTGCAGCGGCAGCACGACCCACGCCCGCCCTGCGGCGGCCCTGTGAACTGGAACAAAGTCACGTGGACACACACACCTCTTCTCCTCCTCCTCTCCAGCATCCCCTCTGGAGCGGCAGCAGAAACAGGTAAACAAAGGAACATGTCAAAGTCATGCAAGATATGTGGATGGAAAAGAGAACAAGCAGAGAAGGAGGGTTATTACGGGCAGGAGCAGAGAGGGACAGAGAGAGACAGGATATTCGAAATAAACTTATTCCCTAGAAGTTTGACAACTACACGAGAGGCAAAGCCCATTCGCCTAGAAGCATCTGAGCATTTTCTTTGTTCTTGTCTCCTGGCAGCGCATAAAATTCTCTCCTGAGTCCTTGGGTAGAGTGTCTGGTCTTTCCCCTCCCTGGGCCCCCTGCCTCCCTGGGCACCGTGCCCGGCAGGTGCTGTGGGACTGAGGCAGACGCCGCCCCTTAGGCCACCCAGAAGGAAGGCAGGAAGGATTCCACCTGAGGCCCGGACTGAGTCTTACCCAAGCAGCATCATCTGCTTGCTCTCCTGACAGAGGAAGGTCAGGGGTCCCCCTAGTGTTAGGGAGGGAGGGATTCACTTTGTAAATGAGACCAGGCCTCTGAGAGTTCAGAGAATTCAAAGTCATGTGACGACAGGGTCCCCCGAGGGGGCCGCTGCGCCTTCCCTGCCCAGTAGCTGCACACAGTGGGCAGCACCTTTGCTGGCCATGGCCAGAGAGAGAACCGGGCGCCACCCCCATGGCATTGGTGCCAGCCCCTCGCTGCTGCCGTTTGCCTTTCGAGACGGTTTCCCAGAAGGGGCTTCTGAAGTGGCCAAGTACCCTCAGCGCGCGGGGAAGTCTGTCTGCACTGCAGACCCAGGAGTGAGCCGAGCGCAGCCACTGCCTTTCCACGGATGTCAGCTCTCGAGTGCAGAGTCTGGGGGTGGCGGCCAGCCCTACACCCCAGGACCCCGTTCCAGGGGTGTGTCCCCAGGGTTCTGATCTTATACAGCAAGTAGGAGGATGGGGCCAGGGTGGGGGTCCTGATGGTCTCATTCAGTGGGAGCTTGCACCTTTAGGAGGGTTGGGCCAAGTCATGCCAGAGCCCCAGGACAGGAAGCACTCATGCACGCGGAGCACCCCCCCATGAAGCTGTGCGCCCCGAACCCCTCAGGCAGCTTGCAGGGCGCAGGACCAGGAGGGCTGAAGGAAGCGCAGACACGTTGACTCAGCTGCTCTGAGCTCTCCTCTTCAGAACCCGGACAATAATGCCACTCCCTGGTCCTTTTTCCCGAGGAAACGGGCCCACGCTTTGCTCCTACCTGGTAGTGGGAGATCGCTTTCTCCTCTCGCAGTGGACGGCGTCGAAAAAGGCCGCGTTCCAGAACCGCAGTGTGTGCCTGCAAGACAGAGCCGGGTGAGGCTCTCTCCAGGGGAGGAGGAGACGCGGGGCCTGGGCCCCTGGGGATGGAGGAGCAGTTTGTCACATCTGCGTGAGCTTCAGAAAAGTCTCAGAGAGGTAGAGCTGAGAAGAAAAAATGAGCATGTGACTTTATCTAAAGACATTTCTGGGGCTCCTGGCGCCTGCATCCCTCTCTTAGCAGAGACGGTGCCAGCGCGGGTGCTAACGGGAGCAGAGGTGCGGGTGGGAGGGAGCACAGCAAACCTGGGTCCAGCAGGTTAGAGCTGCAGCTCCCACATCGGACGTGGAAGGGGACAACTTTCTGCTCCTGTTTTTCCACTGAGACTCCCAAGAGGAAGCGGAGGCCTGTGGAGATGTGCTTTTCTAGAACCAGCTCTAGTAACACAGATGGGAGCCCAGCAGGGACGCGCCACGTGCAGAGAGAACTAACACGTGCACAGGGACACTGGAGTAAGAAAAATCCTCTTGAAGAAGATTGGGGGTGGCAGACTGGGGTGTGGGCCGAAGCTGGCCCTCTGCCCGCTTCTGTAAATAAAGTTTTATTGGCACACAGTCACGCTCGTTCACCCCAGCAGCACAGCTGTGTGACTAACAGAGGTCGTATGGCCCGCAAATCCTGAAATATTTATTATCTGGCCCTTTAAAGAAAGGTTGGCCAATCCTGGTTCTAAATGACAACAACAAGGTCAAGGACCAAAGGGGCTGAGCCAAGTCACTGGACAAGTGGGACACGCTGGTCACCTCCTCCCCTTCTCTCTGCTTCCTTCCGCGTGCCCCTGGGCCAGCTCGGGTCCAGTCTCCTGGGTCTTCCCGACAGCTGAGCCCAGCCCTGTGCCCCCTGGGTCCCTGCAGCACTGCCTGGCCACGGTCCTCAGCTCACACGACCCTTGCTTTGTTACGGGCAGGGACCGTAGCTAGAGTGTGTCTGACACCTGGGCTGCAGGTGCTAGTACGTGCCCTGCAATATGGTGGTGAGAGGCTTCGGGGGGATTAAGGTGACACTGGCCATCAACCGTAGAGCTGGATGATGGGCAAGATTTCTCCTGACCACTGGTCTTGCACTTCAACCATGACCTTCATTTTGTTATACACGTGTAATACCTTAATTGGGATACAATTCATATGCCGTAAAATTCGCCCTCTCAAGCGTATGATTCAGGGATTTTTAGTGTATTCAGAGTGTGCAACCACCACTACCGATTTCCAGAACACTTCCATCACCCCACAAAGACGCCCCACCCCCGCTCCCCACCCCCGCCCCTGGCAGTCACTGTCTCCTTTGTCTCTAGGAATTTGCCTGTTCTGGACATTTCGCATACATGGGATCACACAATCTGTGGTCTTTTGTGACCGGCTTCTCCACTCCGCGTCCTGTCTTCAGGGCTCATCCCTGTGGCAACAGGTGGCGGAGCTTCGTTCCACGGCAAGGACAGACCACGCTGTGTTTATCTGTCAGCACTGAACGGCCGTGAAGGTTGTTTCCACTTCAGGGCTGTTATGAACAATGTTGCCATGGACACGTGTGCACGAGGTTTTGTGTGGATGTGTTTTCCACCCGGGTGGAACCGCCGGGTCACAGCGTGGCTCTGTGTTTAACCCTGCGAGGAGCTGCCCGGCTGTTTCCACGGCTGCCCCACCGTACGTTCCCATCAGCAGCGCGGGAGATCTCTACCTTCGCCACGTCCTTGCCAACCTTGTTAACATTCACCTTTTTTATTTTGGCCATGGGGTGGGGTGAGTTACCGTCATTTCTGATGGAGGCAAAGGCAGCTAGAAGAGCCTGGGGAAGCGGCGGCTGCCCTGCGGTAGGAAGGTGCGGGGCGCTGCGGGCCCGGCCTTACCAGATGGGCTGCTGCTTCAGGTGAGTGTACAGGTAGATCTTCTCCCCTTTCTTCTCGTCCTCCGGGCTGTACACAGTCACTGCAGGAGGAGGGAGAGGGCAGAGGGCGGCTCCGACCGTGCACCCCAACATCAGCAAACCCCACACGACAGCCCCCCGGCAGCCGCTGCTTCTCCCCACAGGTCATCAGAACACACGATCAAAATTCCACGACAGCTTTTCTGCCGGCCACAGCCAGTAATGCCGCTACTCCCACCTGCCCATAATGACTTCTTCCCAGGGGTAGTCCACGGAATGGCTGTCGTCTCCGGGTGATACTTCACTTAACGTCCCCGGGATTAAGGAATTTAGCTCCTTAGAAAAGTGGCTCTTCCACGGAAATCCAGTAAGAAAACATGGGCCAGTGGAGCTGGAGAGCAACTCGGGAATCATCTCAGGCAACGTTCTTGTGCCGCAAGGAGGGGGGTAAAGCCCCAGGCGTTACAGACACGCTTGTTTAGTTGCTGGTTTGTGGGGGGCCGGCTTGAACCCCCTGTGGGGCCTGGGTGACGGGCCCGGGGAGTGCTGCAGGGACGGGCGGGGTGTGCAGACTCACCTGTCCTCTGCTGCTTCTCCCTGGGCTTGTTCTCGTCGTCCCTGCGGGAGAGACCACGGTGAGGACAAATGCGACCCACGCCGCGCTTCCTCAGATCAAAGACAACGTCTCGCGTCTCTAAGATGGGGCTGTGCACATTTACTGTGGTTGTCTCTGAGAAGACTTTTCTGAAATCGATGCTCTACTTGCCAACTGCCAGTGTTTCAGAATTGAGGAAGTGTGCTGTTGAGTCTCTTAAATGTCATTTTCTCTGAATCCCAAACTGTACACAGCGGAGCAGGAAACAAGCCAACTCCCCTGGCTATGACCAGGCCATGAGTGGTGATGGTGGGGACCCCCGGGGGGCCGAGGGCTCCCTCTCGCTGACACGCCCCCTTCCTGTGAAGAAGGCTCAGCTTCTACACAACTGCCCCTAACGTGCCCCTCCCCAGGAGGTTCCTGGTGTTTCTGCCAGAGACCTGCCCTGCAGGGGACAGTGTCTTCTGCGTCCTGACCCTGCTCCACGAACACCGGAAGGGGGAGGGCCTGTAACCCCCCTGCCAGCTGACACTTTTACAGGCTCCCATCGGTCCCACAAACGTGCCCCTGGGACTCACCCCGCATGTCAGGAAGGAAGCACAGAAGCCTCTGGGGGCCAAGGCCACGCGGGCTGGCAGCTGCGCTTCTCGGGAGCTCCCACCCCGGAGTCCATGACGGGGAACAGATTTCCCCATTGTCATGCCAGCACGCTCCCTGCCAGCCCCCAGGCCAGGCCAGAGCCCCCCACGAGGTGACACTTACTCATTTTTCCTGGTCAGGGGGCCCTTCAGCTTGGTCTCCAGCCCCCCGAAGAAGCCCTTCACGTTTTCCGTCCTGGCCGAGGTGTTCTTCAGCAGCCGCTCGGCTATGTCCTTCTTCTCCGCTAACCAGCTGTTCGCCGACCTCAGGTAGGAGTCCACGCTCCCTGCGGGCTTCTCCTTGGCTTCCGAGGGGAGCAGGTTCGGTTTTCCTTGAAAAGGAGGGAGGGAGAAGGACAGGTGGGGAGTGAGAACGGGATGTGCACAGGACCAACCACCGAGGGCCGGAGAGAAGCTCCCCCCAGGCCCCTGACGTCCTGGAGCAGCTTCCCGTAGCGTCACCCTCACTCCTCCACCCCACAGACAGGGCCGCGGGAGCAGCAGGCTCAGTGGACGCCCAGGACAAGAGGGAGGGGCAGACCCCGCTCTGCAGGAGCATCACTGAGCACCTGTTGTGTCCAGAGCAGTAGGCCGGGAGCCAGGGGGGACCCAGGAAACAAGGAGGATCCAGCCCCGGGAAGCAGAGCCTGGCAGGGCGGTGAGGAACGTGCATCCGTGGCCTGAGCATGGAGCCTAGACCGCGGCAACGGAGGCGCAGCTAGGCGGGGTGGGCGAAGAGGCTTTCCCAGTGGCGGGAGGATGGGAGCAAATTCTAGACAGGCTCCTCGGCCTCTGGACTGGGCCTGGAACAGGTGAGTGAGGGCTGTGGGGTGATGATGGGAAGAGGGGAGGAGCCACGGCAACACCAGAGCTCCTGCCTCGGGACAGCAGATGGACCCACAAGCTCAGGCGCCCAGTGTCCTCTACTAGTTGAAGCTGTCTGTGCACAGACGCATCTTGGGTGCTTTGGGAAGGAGCAGCCACAGGTTGCATGAGGGGCTCCCACCTGACCAGAGGTGGCCAATGAGTGGCCTGGCATGAAGGGCCTGCCCGAGGGGTGTGGGGAGGATGGGCCACTGGGAGGAGGAGGGGATGAAGGCACATTGCAGTGGGCAGAGGACACACTCCAAGAGTGAGCACGTAGGTCCTGAGAGAGGATGGCAAGGGAGGACAGTGCTCAGAGCCACCCTGCCCCAGCTCCAGGCCACGCGGAGGCTTCCAGCAACCTTCACTTACAGTGGCCGGAATGAGGCTCTGCTGCTGCAGCCCAAGGAGATCCACACAGGGAGCCCTCAAGCTCCAACGTACCAGAACATTCCACCACAACGAGCTGGAAGAGGCGGCATAGCCGCAGCACCAAGAAAAACCCGAACTCTTGGCAGGCAGTCTTCACCCCACTTCCGGAGCTCTCTGCAGCTCCGGGTCCGAGGCTGCCCCCACCTCCCCCAGATAGCCAAAACTCCACGTCACGTTTTGCTAGAACATAACACTGACATCCTCACATCCAGCAACTCCTGTTTCCGCCGTGAACTGTCGTGCCCAGTGTGTGCATTTTCTCATTTCCTAACAGCCTGGCGGCTTCCTTCACGCTGTGGACAGTCAACCTCTGTCCCGCAGAGTGGGCCACATTCTCCCTCCCACTGCAGAAGTGTCACTGCTCACGTCCTCCCTAGCATCCGCTTCCTGTGTTCTCTGGAAGCGCCACACTTTGACCTCAACCGTGAAGAAAGCTTCCTTCGAAGCCGCACTGTCGGTTGGCAAATCTCAAGTTCCCAAGTCTGAGCTCCCGTCGGCGGAGGCTGTGTCTTACCGATGTGGTAGTAGGTGAAGCACATGGTCATGAGGTTCTTGGCGGGCCCAAAGTCATCCATCTGATGGCACCTGGAATGAGAGGAAGGCCCGACTGGCTACAGAATCCTTCCCCCTGATTTTCTCACTGCAAGTTCATCAAGCAACGCCAGACTACTTTACAAGTAGGTCTAACTTAGTGCCTGGCTCCCAGGATGCTACCATAGGAGAAGCAACACACATAATCCCCCGGGTTCAGTTAGGTGAGTTACCCCCAGCACATGGCCGAGGACTGGGTCTGATTCCGCGCAGGGAGGAGTGTGCGCTCCGTCGGCCCACCTCTTCCGCTTCACAGGTGAAAGCGAAGGCCCGGGAAGCTCAACTCACTCGCAGGAGCAGGACCAGCACTTGCAGCAGCAGGGCCTCGGGTCTCAGTCCAGACCAGCGCCCCAGCCACACGCCCTCCAGCTCTCTACCCCCGCGAGAGTCACGAGCCTGGGAAGGGGACCTGTGCATCAGGGGTCTGGCTCCCTAACCTGACAGGTGGGCAGGGGCAGGGATGGGGCTGGCCCCAAATCTCAGGCTAGCAGCCATGCCCCGTCCACCACCCCAGCTGACACCTTCTGTAACAAAGGGCCCAGCAGTGCCCAATTAGCACTCACAGGGCGGGCTCCAGTCCTCCAATCATATCATTAAGTGTTCATTTGTGGGAGGGCTGGGCGGTTATCTGGTTTGAATGCTACACAACAGGCAACGGAGGGAGCTTGCTCTCCCCCAGGAGGGTGGGGCCACAGCACATAATCACGGCCTGTCCCCGAGGACAGCAGGGAGGATGTTCCTCATGCCCAGCTGCAATCCTCCACTTTCTACTGCCAGGTGAGGACTGCCGGCTCTGCACCGTGAGACGCTGGTCACGGCTTCTGCTTTTAGCTGACGCTGGGCATATCGGCAACGCAATGGATGACTCACGTGGATCTTGCTCACAGCGGGCGGGGAAGGGAGGGAAGAACAGCTCCTTAGCACAAAGGCTGCGAGCAACAGCGTGACTTACTCGAACAGCACCACCGCAAACGACTGCACCAGGCAGTAGAACGTCGGTTCCGAGACACACTTGGAGTTGCAGCGCTGTCCAGAAAGAGGCCAGACACATCGTCAGGGGCAAGGTGACACAGTGCTCAGGGAGGCTGTGGGCTGTCCACTCTCAGCCACTCTAAGTGCAGCTGGGATGGGCCACCCAGGGTGGCCACTTCCTCCTCTGCACTATGGAACCCACCTATGTCCCCTTCTGCCAGGACCCGGGGCAGAGCTGGGCACTGCTCACCACGCTGGCAGGACACAGGCAGTGCTCAGTGTTGTCCTCCGGAGATTTTAAAAAGCGGGAACTTCACACACTCGTCCACACAAAGAAAAGTGCGGAGGGCAAAACCCCAAAATGATAACACCGACTATTTCCAGATTGTGGATTTATGGGGATTAGTTTTTCCTTTTGCATTTGTGCACTTTCTAATTTTTCTATGAAAAATAAATCGTGCTAAAAAAATATTAAGAATTTAAGCCACTCCGTAGGAAAAAAAAAAAAAGAACCTAGTGGATATTTATAAAATTTCTTTTCTGACCTTTGTTTATATATTTTTCTTTACATGGCTGTCATTGTCTTGAATATATTATTTTTTACATAAACTGAGTATTGTGGACTATTTAATAAAAATATGCATGTACGTAACCCACATGCTTGGCTTTAAAAAATGAACTTTTCCAGAATTTCCTGGAATTTGACAGACCACAGTTTCTTAGTCTTTCCCTTGCAATGAGACATCCAAATGAGCTACTTCCCATTTCTCACTACGCTAAACAGCCCTTTTCAGAGCATCTTGGGGTAGGTTTTACCCTTTCTTCTGTTGGGTCATTTGCCTTGACTCTGCCCTCCAGCGTGGAACTACAGGATAGAGGAGGGAGTGTGTTATATGCCTCAGATTCTTCCTTCTCCCCATCACCTCGCTTACCTGGGCACTCACGTATCGAGCAAACCACTCCCGGCCCTTTCCATTTTCGCTGCTGCAGTACTCGCCAAACTTGGCTTTCTCCTCCTGGTCCAAGTCCTCCCTAAAAAAAGAGCAAGGGGAAAAAAAA